TATATATATATATATATATATATATATATATATATATATATATATATATATATATATATATATATATATATATATATATGTATATATATATATATATATATATATATATATATATATATATATATATATATATATATATATATATATATATATATATATATATATATATATATATATATATTATAAGAATGATTTTAAACCACAGCGGTTCGAACTGTATTTCTGCTGAGCGACTAAAAAGTGATCAGCATGATGGTAAAAAACTGTACATTTCTAGTCAAACCATTCTTCTGCAATCTCATACCAAAAACGGAAATAAGGGCAGTGTTAATATCTATAAATGTGGGAGAGCGTTGATATTATGTGATTTTATTGTATTGCTATATGGAACAATTAAGTGTTGATGTTAAATCAAAAGTAATTCACAAATACGTGAAAATGAGATGATATAATGACAATAATTCTCGATGGTTACAACTGTATTAATTACAAAATAACTGTATAAAATGATCAAATATGAAATGATAAAACATATGGTATAAATTGTACCCAGTTTAAATGTAAAATTAAAGTTACCAGAGGTAGAAGGAGAGACACAGGGGGAGGGAGAGAGAGACAAAGAGAGCAGGCCCAAAAGCCTGATTGCAGTAGAGTCAGAGAAGATAGACTCCAGAGGAGGAGAGGAGCAGAGCAGGAGAGAAGCAGGCCAGGAAAAGAGAGGCCAGGAAAAGAGAGGGCAGGAAAAGAGACAGAACTCGAGTTTATCAGCTATTTTGTATCTTTCTTGACCATTTGACTAAGGCCCCATTTACACTAATGCGTTTTAGTTTGAAAACGCATAAGTTTTGCTACGGTTACGCCAACCGTCCACACTACGCCGAAGTTCTCGAGCGCCGAAAACGGAGAGCTTCGAAAACGCTGGAAAGGCCGTTTTCATTCTGAAACGCTGCTGCTCCGTCTCAGTGTGGATGATGGAAAACGGAGATATCTGAAAACGGAGGCGGGGCTGCCGACATTCGCCTCTCTGATTGGGGCTTTTCCTCAATATTAAGTAGCCTAACACACACAGTTGAGTCCTTCATCTTCTCCGTGTAAGTTCAGACTTCGCAAGTTTGATCAAGGCTGCAGTCTCTTCTTCTCAGTTTGATATGGAAAACAGACTATACCGAGGACACGGGTAAATCTTCAAAGGGAACAGTGTACTTTATAACTTCATTCACATCACCCTGGCTACGTTGTTTCTCAACAATAAAATGTAAACATGATATAAGGAACTGCCTATTTTCATTTTAATATTAGCAACTTAACAGACAGCAGAAATGTTGAGGCGCCGTGCTGCATATATGAGCGTCATCTTCACTGTGTGGATATTTATAACTAAACGGAGCCGATAACAACGGCCTCCTTTCAATTTCAGTGAAAATACGAAACACACCCTCTCTTTTGCTGAATATCAGTTTTAATAATCGATAATGGCCATTATAAAAGTATAACATACAATAAGTTTATACATTATAGGAAATAAAGGCAAGCGATCAGTCAATATACAGAATGTAGGCTACGTGGTTACATTAATCATTAACTTATCTTTGCGCTCAGCCAAAACATGTTACCTGAGAACAAGTAATAGATTCCAATGACCAAAGTCAGGGAATATGTCGTTAGATAAAGACAAAAAGATGAATGAAATATCCCGTTTAATAAATATAGTGAGATTAGATCCAGCGGGAGATGCTTGATGAGAAGTCCGACTAGCAGAGCTCTCATCTGGGTAGATGGGCTGCAGCGATTGCCAGAGAGTGTTTGTGTGGTCACGTGATGTGCGTTTTCAGCGTTTTGGTGTGGACGGAGAGCAGTTCAGAAACGCTGGGTAAAACGCGAGTGTGGACGCAGGTCGTTTTCATTCTAAAACACCGTTTTAAAACTAAAACGCACTAGTGTAAACGGGGCCTAAAGCCATTCAAGACATTCAAACTGACTAATCAACATGTGACCACACCATAAAACCCCCAAAGTCCACACAACAGGCCCTGATCTTATCGGTATCTGACTTTGTAGTCAGTATGGACCTTCTTGAGTCAAAAAGCATTATTTGTCATATAAACAAATGCATATGATAATTTGGCCTCTTACAATATATTAGTACAATAATTAAGTAAATTTTAAGCTATCTCGCGGCCCGCCTGCAGGAACGCTGAGGCCCGCTAGAGGGCCGTGGCCCACCGGTTGAGAATCCCTGCTCTAAATAGTATGAAATAGTTTGCTCTAATCTGCATCTTAAATACTAATATTACTAGTTAAATAATAGATAATAGAACGATACAATTGACCACCCCTATAATGGATTATACCATTGTGAATGCATAATTGCGTCAATAAATCTAAGCCGATTGACATGGCAAGTGTTTACAAAACACTTTTCTTGTAAAAAAGGTGTTACATAGAGCCTAAAAGTAAAGTAAAATTAGATGCATTGTTTGTATAGATTGACCTACAGTAACCTCTAAAAATGGCTAATCACAGGATATTGTATACGTCAGAATACACAAACTATCCGACAAAACGCTGAGAAATTAAATATTTTGCATTGATAAAATGTCATTTAGTTTAATTCACTGAAGCATGTGTTGCACACAAGAATATTACAGAAAAAGTTGACCCCCCTGATCGTCAATGTATAATTCACACCGTTTATAATCACATACTCATTATCATTTGTTGTTTGTGTGTGAATCAGCTGGAAGACACGCTGTGGGCCGGACTGACAGATCTGAACATAAAGCTGCCCATGGGCATCACAGCAGAAAACCTGGCAGAGAAATACCAGATCAGCCGTGAGGAGTGTGACCAGTACTCGCATCAGACGCAGCAGCGCTGGAAAGCAGGTCAGCGCAAGATATACACCACATATCCTGGATAATTCTGCATTAATAGAACTAGCACTTCAGTTTAGGTCATAACTCATGCTATTAACTACCTGCCCATTGTTAAAGGTCCAGTGAAATTACAATAAAGTTTTTTAGATGTTAGTTTCAGTCTGTTAAGGATATCTATAATCTAGTGTGATCCAAAATAGTGACAATTTACATTAAGTAAATATAAAACTGATATAAAATCCAAAGCTTGTCACTTCCGCCTATATGCATCATTGTTTTTGTTTTTTTTACATCACCTCATGCTATAGTTTCTCATCCAATTTTCTGACCAATCAAATGCTCTCTTTGTCTGACATGCCCCGCCCCTTTTTCATTTGCTTTTCATTTAATGCGCTTGAGCTTAACCACTCTCACTGGCAGAGCTGTGAGAAAACCAAATGCTATTGGCTGTTTATTAAAAAAGGGAGGAGCTGCTTAGTCGCACCCTCTCTTCATGTTTCAGTTTAGATTACGTCAGACATAAACAAAAAGTGCACATTTCAAAGCACTTCGTGGAACCTTTAAAATAAAATAAATGTTGAAAAAGTAAATGGAGAACTCTTTGTGGTGAGAGAAAATGTTTTGTGGATGTTATCTGTTCACATACACTCATACTCACACTTCTGTCTCTGCTGCAGCTCACGAGGCTGGATATTTCAGCGCTGAGATCGCACCCATTGAAGTCAAAGCCAAGAAGGGGAAAGTGTCCATGACGTTTGATGAACACCCTCGTCCACAGACCACCCTGGAGCAGATGGCAAAACTGCCCACTGTCTTCAAGAAAGGGGGAACCGTCACTGCTGCCAATGCTTCGGTCAGTAAAACAGCTCTAAAATGGCTGCACTTTTAAATTACATTTATTTTATTGTATTTATTTATTTTTATTTGTTTATTTTGTTTTTAATTAATTATAAGATTTTTTCATCTTTTATCATCAACCATTTGTTCCTTTATTTAATTTTATTTCATTTCATCCATTTATTTTATTATTTTTATTTATTTATTTATTTTTATGCTTTTGTTTTACTTTATTTGAATGTAATTCAATCTTATTATTTATTTTTGTTATTATTATATTTTTAATTGTTTATAATTATTTTATTATTATACATTGATATATTTTACTTTTTTTATTTAATGTGTGTTTTTATTTTATTATTTGTTTTCATTCATTTTGTATTCTTTAATTTTTGCTCTTTGTCATTTAATTCATTAAAATTATTTATTTTATTATTTTTATTTTTTAATCCTTTGTTTTACTTTATTTTAATGTGATTTAATCTTTTTAATTGTTTATTTTTATTTTTTATTTAAATTATTTAAAATTATTTAATTATTTTACTTTAATAATTTTTTAAATGTTTTTTTTTATTGTTTGTTTTTATTTTATTATTTGTTTTAATACTATTTATTTTTTTCTTTTTGTTTGTCATTTAATTTATTAATTTACTGAGTTATATTTATTGGTTTTGGGTTTATTTAAAATATTATAAATACTATAAAAGTCTGATATAATTTCTTCCAAATTTTGAAAAAACAATGGGTCAGAATAGTCTATACTTCCAGTTGTTATGACTTAAAATTAGGGTTATTAAAACATTAATTTTATGTTGTCTAAAACTGAAAACAATATTTTATACAAACAATTTGTTTTGTTAATTTATACAAAAAGGGTTGCAAATGATCTTTGGGAAAATAAAAATTATTAGTTTACATTCAGATGAGGAGTTGCAAGAATGTTTATATTCTACAAAATGTGTGTGTGGGTGTTTAAAAAATTAAATGACTCTGGATTTTAGATTTTTTTTGTGCATATTTTAAAAATGTTTTTGGCTCCTCCCACAGGGCGTGTCTGATGGAGCCGCTGCCGTGATTATAGCCAGTGAGGATGCAGTGAAGGCTCACAAACTCACCCCATTGGCTAGAATCGTGTCCTATCACACCTCAGGTTGTGATCCCAGCATCATGGGAATTGGTGAGTGTTAAACAACCATTCTGTCGCACTTAATGTGAAAAGTACGGTGGCCGAGAGAGCGTAACGCACTGCAACTTAACAAAACACATGCAAATAGAAAAAACATCAGAAATTAAGAAAACGCATGCATCGGTTTGGCAGCACACATGTGGCAAATTCTCAAACACACATAGAAAACTCACTGCAAATCACATGTAAATAACACAGACTAAAACATGAGTTTTTCAAGCGGATGAAGTGAAAATAGTGACGGAGCCGGCTGAGAATTGCTTGTTGTGCAGTGATTATTGCTCAGTGAAGTTGCTGATGATCTTTTTTGTTTATTTAGCACCTTGATTACGTGATTTCTATCTCGTTTGCATATTATTAGCCTGAATAAACTGACGATTAATTGTAAAACGGTATTATACAATATAGCTAAATTATCCTAATATTCTCAACTAAATATTAGGGGTGTCAAAATTAATCGTTTCTTCGGTGCATCGCGATGCAGACGCGGACAATTCGGTATCGGTTCAGTAATAATCATAACCGGTTATTACTGATGTCATTTACCTCATATGCGCTCTGTCGCGAGGGAGGCGAGCGCGAGTATTTACAGCGCTTTAACTACTTAAAACTCATAAACTGTGCACTGTGTGTGTTTGTCTTTCACTGACATATACAACAATAGCCCCTATTTCACTGAGATCGAGAGAATGAAAGTAGCCTACTTCATTTCTCTCTCTCGCTCTCGCTCTCACTCTGTCTCTGTCTCTCTCTTTCTCACACACACACACACAGTGGCCCATTTGACCTGCTGGGGTGGCTTTTCTTCTCCTCTCGGCTGTTTTACAGCATTACGTTTGGATACAGAAACGAGCGCGTGTCTGCAGAGTTTTCTCCACCGTGTCTATCATGCATCAGCTGTGAGATCGCCGCTGCCGCTTATCAGTGTCACTTATCTGAAGAGCGCAGCGCGCAAGAGCCAATCGCAACCGTTTTTGTTGAGGGTGTGACCAATCAAAGAGGTGTAAGAGAACTAGACAAGGATCAGAAATTGAGCTGGATGTTTATATTTGTTTATATTATTTGCTTAATGCTCGTTTTGTTTAACGTTACAGTTTATATATCTGACTGTTTGTATTAAACGACAAAATTGTATTACAAATAATATATAAATATAAATATATTCATACATTTTAATACAAGAACTGCTGCTGTGAAGAAAATATAAAACTGTGATGGAAAGCATCGTCAATGCACCGTGATGCACCGAAATATCGAATTGAACGAATCGATGGCATGATAATCATCATATATTTAGATAAATACTCAGGCCTTTTTAGTAGGCCTGTGATGATATAAGTGATATCATAATACAAATACAAAGTGCTAACTTCAGTCAACTTTTGCACGTGTTGTGAGGATTTGCGGTGTGTTTTTCTATTTGTTTGTGTTTTGAAGATATGCGACACTGACGATTAATTGTGTGACGTTATTATACAAGATGGATAGATCCTTTTAATATTCTCAACTAAATATAATTTCAAGGATAATGACAAAAAAATGGCAAGGCTTTATTAAATGTTAATGTTAATGTTCAATAAGAATAATGTTTAAAATATATATATATATATTCAGGCCTGTGTAGTAGGCTGATGATGATGTAAATGACAACATTATACAAATACAACCATGCTAACTTCAGTCTGCTCTTTCTTCAGATGAAAATATGTGTTGTGAGGATTTGTAGTGAGTTTTCTATTTGCATGTGTTTTCTGAAGCTGCAGTGCATCAAGCTGTCTCGTCCACCATAGAAAAGTCTTTAAGGATAAATGTATAAACTGATTTCTGACTGAATATGTTTTAAATACAACCTGTAGGGCCTGTACCTGCTATCACAGAAGCTCTGAAGAAGGCTGGACTCTCAATCAAAGACATGGACCTGGTGGAGGTACCTCCTCATTATAATCAGTAACTAATTGCTTTTTACAGTGTAGTGGACTATAAGAAACTGATTGGTGGCTCAGTGGTTAGCACTGTCACCTCACATCAAGAAGGTTGCTGATTCGAGTCCCGGCTGGGCCAGTTGGCATCTCTGTGTGGAGTTTGCATGTTCTCTCCGTGTTGGCATGGGTTTCCACCGGGTGCTCCGCTTTCCCCCACAGTCCAAACACATGCGCTATAGTGCATGGGTGTGTTTGAATGAGTGTGTATGGGTGTTTCCCAGAACTAAGTTGTAGTTGAAAGGGCACATGTTGCGCAAAAAAACATTTGCTGGAATAGTTAGCGGTTCATTCCACTGTGGCAACCACTGTAGTAGAGATTAAGCTGAAGGAAAATGAATGAATGAATGAATGATAGTACAATATAAAAAAAATGATAATATGGGTGAAAACCCACTTTGAACTTTAAAGTCATCAAGTTATGTAATTAGTTTTTCTTCATTTGTGTGTCTTTATTTCCAGGATGGTTAATCAGTGTTTTTTTGTGTTTGTTTGTCAGGTGAATGAAGCGTTTGCTCCTCAGTATCTCTCAGTGGCCAAATCTTTAGGTTTGGATCCCGAGAAAACCAATGTTAATGGAGGAGCCATCGCTATCGGGCATCCGCTCGGGGCCTCGGGGACCAGAATCACTGCACACCTCGTCCATGAGCTCAGGTAAACACATCTTAAACAAATATATTTTAGGTCTAAAATAGATAGATGGATGGATAGATAGATAGATAGATAGTTAGATAGATAGATAGATAGATAGATAGATAGATAGATAGATAGATAGATAGATAGATAGATAGATAGATAGATAGATAGATAGATAGTAGAGCTGCACAAATAATCATTAAAAGATGGCGATCTCGATTCGACCCCCTAGACGATCTTAATCCAGCATTTTTACGATTCTGCCAATCATATTTTCATATATATATATATATATATATATATATATATATATATATATATATATATATATATATATATATATATATATATATATATATATATATATATATATATATATATATATATATATATATATATATATATATATATATATATATATATATATATAGATATATATAAATATATATATATATATATATATATATATATATATATATATATATATATATATATATATATATATATATATATATATATATATATATATATATATATATATATATATATATATATATATATATATATATATATATATATATATATATATATATATATATATATATATATATATATAGATATATATATATGTATAGAGATATA